GCTCTCTAGCCACTCCTCCCCGAGCCTGTAGCGGTGCTGGCGTTGTTGTGAGCCAAGGGCGGGACTTGACAGTTGGCCTTGTTGAACCTCAGCTGGCCTCAGCCCATCGATCCAGCTCGTCCACATCCCTCTGAAGAGCCTCCCTGCTCCCAAGCAGATCAACACTGCCACCTAACTTGGTGTCATCTGCAAACTTCCTGAGGGTGCTCTCGAGCTCCTTGTCAAGATCATTGATAAGGATATTAAATAGGAGTGGCCCCAACACTGCGCCCTGGGGAACAGGGCTTGTGGCTGGCTGCCAGCTGGGTTGAGCTCTGTTCACCACCGCTCTGGGCCCGGCCAGCGTTTGATCCAGCAGAGCGTAGGCCTGCCCAAGCCTTGGGCACCCAGTGTTTTCATGAGAAGGCTGTGGGGAACAGTTTCGAAGGCTTTACTCAACTCCGGTAAACACCACCCACAGCCTTTTCCTCATCCGCTGAGCGGATCACCCGGCCACAGAAGGGCATCAGGTTCCTTAAGCAGGACCTGCCCTTCCTGAGCCCCTGCGGAACGGGCCTGATCGCCTGGTTGGCCTGTCCATGGTGTGGAGGGGCACTACAGGTCATTTATTCCATGACCTTCCCTGGCACCGAGGGCAGACGGGTCTGTAGTTCCCTGGATCCTGCCTGCTGCAGCACTTCCTCTCTGGAATCGTTCTGCCTCCTGCTCAGAGCTGCAAGTGCCGGGGTCTGGCAGTGACCCGGAGTCCGTGTGCAGACAGACAGACAGACAGCACTTCCTGCCTTGGGCTTGGTAGGATGAGTGACTGATTTTGCACAAGCTGGGGGAGAAGAAAAAGTCTGTCTGTATTAACTGCATTCTTGTAAAAGCTTGCCAAATATGCTCTAAAACATTCTTTTTTTTTTCCTCCTACTTGTTGATTATGAGACCTTTTTTTGTCATTTTCATATGCTGCAAGTCTTGGTTATGCGTGTTGGCACTGGGTTTTCTGTTGTTTTTAATTACATTACTAAATTGGAGAATGGGTGCTGAAAGATGGGAGCCTTTTAATTTTTAAAAAAAAAGTCTTTATGAGCATTGTTAGGATTTTTTTTTTCCAGAAAACTTTTTCAGATTTATTAGAATTTATTTATTTTGTCTCATCTTTAAGGATTTTTGGGTTGCTGCCAAATCAGGAACGGTTCATATGTAACTACATTTGGGAGACTGTTAATTTCAGATTCAATTCATTTGTGTTTAAGTTGCTGTTTCTTGAAAGGATGTTTATATGGCTGCAATAAATCCATGTGTGCAGACTACGACTATGGGCTAGAGTTTGGTTCCATTTCAGCAGCCCCCAGCACTGAGGTGCTTCGTGAAATCTGCTTTGCAGCCTCTCTTAAAGATGCCTTGGTTCTGGGGCCAGGTTGCTATGTAAACTGAGTTACCTCCTTTTAAAGGGTGGCCCTGAAAGAAGTTTTTCACGTCTGTTGTTTTTTTTGCTCTGCAAAGTTTTGTATTTGGATAGTGCTCATAGTCTTTTGTGAAATTTTGAGTAGTCCCATGGAAGGGCTATTGCATAAATGCCTGATCTAGAGTATGCTTCAGAGAAAAAAAGCTTTTGATGTTAAATTAGGTCTCACTTCTCATGTCTGTTGGGGAAAAAGACACACACTGTGTCTGGCCCTGACAAAGCATATTTCATTAGGCTGCTATTATTTCTGTGCAGGCTTTGAAGAAAAAGGGTAAAAGGTCATTCTTTGTTTGTAACTAAGAAAGACCTTGTCTTTGAAAGATGGCTTGTTTTTCTGGTATTTTAAATGGTCTTTCCCTTAGTGCAAGTATTTGCTTGCCTTTAAATTTGGAGCTGCTTATTTCAAGCATAAATACGTTCAGAAAGAAGACCAGTTAAGGAAGACTGAGTGTTTTTAAAACATGTAGCATTTATGTCAACTTAATGTTCTCACAAACGCAGTATTTCTGTTGTTACGTCAGAGCTGACAAAGCAGCGTGCTACGAGAATGAATATATTCCTTGAGGGTTTTTTCTAAGAACGCTACATAGTAAATTCATTAAAGGTTATTTTTAGTACTCATTATAAATAATTTAATATGTTTCCTCTAATATTATCTGGGCTTTTTTGTAGCCAAATGCCAAATGCCCTCTCTGCAGGAACGAACTCCGAGTACAGCACCTGGTGGAATGTCCCCTGGAAGAGGAAATAGAGTCCAGTAAGGGAAAGAAGTCTCAGGAGTGGGTGTCCAGTTCCAAGGTACATTGTGTTGTATTTTACTTGGCTTTCGCTATGGTTTTGTAGAGCACTCTAGAATTCTTAGGTACGCATGCGGAACATACTTTACGTGTGCATAAAGTACTTTAAATTATTATTTAAAAATCTGCATAGCCTTTCCAGCCAGCACAGGGGAAAATGCATAATAAAAATCTCATCACAAACAGATTTTGCAGCAGGGGAATAAGACAAAAGGGGCACCAGTTGTAATTCGATGCTTGTCATTGCGCAGTACGTACATGTGTAATAATTAAATAAAAGGTTTTTGGAAAGGAGCTGTTGCTTTGTTTCTGTTTCTGAAGATAGAATAGCTCTATAACCACTGGAATTATCCAGCTCTTAATCTACTTTTGGAAAATAAAAATCTAAATAAATCCTTCTTTCTTAAAATTTGTCTAAAGAATATATGTTCTGCTCTAGAAATGGGCACTGTGTTCAGTATAACATTTGTTGGATAAAACTAGCGAGAGATTTTTATTTTGCAAACATGTTTCTCAAGGTCTGCCTCACCTTCCTTGTGCATTTGCGACCAGTAATTAAATCTTCCTACTTTTACTTTGACCATTTGCTTGTACTTTGACCACTTTGAGATCACTTTTCTGAAACATTAAAGTTTAAATTTCGATTTGTAAAGATGTTATTGTTCTTTCAAACATTAGTTATAAATTTATTCTCTAAAAATCTTTCCATGGAGACTTAAGAACTAATTTAGGACATTGTACTCTAGAACAAATTCAGACTTTTTTACTTTATTTATTTATTTTTTTTACCTAGGGCAGTTACTTGCATTAGCTAGTTAGTGATTCTTTACCTCATCATCGCTAAACCTTACAGGAAAGAACTGGCAATCTTCTTCTGCCTCAGATCCAATTCCTCGCACCCCAAGAATGCTTTTGGTGCCTCCTTATCCTCTACCCTGCTTAGCCAAAGCTCTTGCGTAGCTTATTTGTCTGAATATTTCTGGGTGAAGCCTTTCTCCCTTCTTGAGTGTTGCTGCAGCAGAGCACTTGGCTTGTTGCTTAAGCTTTCCTTTTCGGAATTCCAGTCCTTTTTTCCATCTGCCCTGGAGGCAGGGCACTTGTTCACTCCTGGCTATGGGAAGAATGTCTGGAAAATGGGCTTGTGAATCCTCTTCCTTAAGGTACCATTGATCACCCATTTGCTTGTGACCATTAAAAGAGCTCAACCCTTACTTTACTTTGGAAACTAAAAGAGCCACTACCCACAGAATTTATGATTAGTTCTTCAAAAAGGTATTAACGAACAGTGATTTCTCGATTGCTGGGAACTTTATCAAAGCACTTCCGGGAGTGGAATCTAACCAAATCGGAATAAGCTGCATGAGTCTTCATTTGGTTTCAGATAAATGCTCTTATGCACGCTTTGATAGAGCTACGGAGGGATAATCCAACTGCTAAATGCCTGGTTGTTTCTCAGTTCACAACTTTACTGTCGCTTATAGAAAATCCCCTGAAGTAAGTAGAACTACCGTAATTTTTAATAACCATTTGCTTTTTACTGTGTTTTAGAAAGATCTCTTAAAGCATACTGTGTTCTTCTGGATTTTAGAACTTCAAAAGAGGAACAAATTACTTAGATACTTTGTTTAGTGGAATAATAACACAAATTTAATTCTCGTTATTTTTAATGTACCACCTGTTAAATGCAGAATTTTAAAATACGCATTTCAAAGTAGAGGTCAGGATTTTAATGCATATATTTCCTGTTGTCACAAAAAATGGATTGTTAAATTGAACATTTTTGCTTTCTCTTCAGAGAATCAGGGTTTGCCTTTACTCGTTTGGATGGGTCAATGGCACAGAAGAAAAGAGTAGAAGCAATTCAGTGTTTCCAAAGCAGCCAGGCAGGATCCCCAACTGTAATGCTTTTGTCTCTGAAAGCAGGTGGAGTTGGATTAAATCTGACAGCAGCTTCCCGAGTGTTTTTAATGGATCCTGTGAGTAACGGGTTGGTCATAATGATTTGACTTAATCTAGGTGAAGCTTCTTTGGTGTTTTCCTAAGAGGTAGAGGGAAAGCCCCTCTGAGAATGGGTGACATTGATGCGTATCCGTTAAAGGGCAAACGGGGCTTTTCTTCATTTGTTTCCCTGGCATGTTGTTGTTTTAATACAGTATTTTTGTGCTGTGCATTTATTTACTGTGAATGGAAGGAATGCTAGTAGTCCTGTTAACAAAGCGGTGTGACACTTACAGTGTAGCATTCGAGATGTTCCTTCTGTATTGCTTTCTTTCTGGTACTTTTGAATGGAGTTTCCTGTTTGTTCTTTTTAGTAACTTCAGAAGCCGTAAAGTGGAATTTCAGGAACAGTATATTTTTCCTGGGTTATAATGAACTGCTCCTCTGCTCTAGTATTTTCTGTTATTTTTGCGAAATTATTTTTAAATACATTATTCTGAGGTTACTTTTTGTGGCTGTAGGAGGCTGAGAAAGATGGTGACACCTAAACTGAGGAAGTTTTTTCCTTTCATTAAAGCACTCAGAAATGCAAAATTATTTGTAAGGAATAAAAATGTAAATTACAATTACTGATAGCAGAATGGAATTCTGACCAGAATTGCTTCAAGCCCTGTTGTGTCATTGTACAAAACTGAAGATTTTCTGTTCTTTTCCTCCCTTCCCCCACTACTTGCTCCTCTGCTCTGATATCATAGAATCATAGAATCATAGAATATCCTAGTTTGGCAATTGGAAACTGAGACAAATCCTGCCGTTTGTGCACCTGATACAAAACCAAAATGAAAATAATAGCATAGCTTTGGTCTTGGGCATCTGGTAATACCAATAGTAAAGAAAAAGTACTAGCTTGGACATCAGGTTAGTGATAATAACAGCCTGACGACAAAAGCTATTTACTTAATAAACTTAAAGGAATTAATGAGTGGGAGTGTGGAAAACAGGGTTTTGTGAATTATGATACATCTTCCCAAGGGTTGGTTTTGCATTTGTTGCATTGAGCGGCACGTTTAGAAGGGACCTACACCACCATCTAGTCCAACTGCTTTTTTCCTCAGATGAGTAAGAGAATAAGGAAAGTCCAGGGGAATTTTTGTTTTCTGTGAAGGTAGTTAATGAGATCCAGTGCACGCACTGTCCTGTGGCAAGAATTGTTAACACTGACTCGTCTGCAGCATAGTTACACCTCACAAGCCAGACCCAAATGTAGTTGCAGCCTTTGTATCCCGCTGAACAACTCTTCGTCCTGCTGGTAACCACCCTGTGAGGATGGTAAAGGGGCAGGGGCTGAGTACTTGTGTTTTCTTGAGCCGCGTAGGACCACCGGATCCTTTATGATCTTGCTTTTGAATGTTTAGGGCTGAATAAGATTCAGTCATGCATTTGCATTCCTTGAAGTGAATTAGCAGCAGTAATAGGATTTAAGAGGCAAAAATATGTCTGGAGCTAGCAGAGTAACCAGTTTTTCTACTCGAATTCCGTGGATTTGATACAGAACTGTAGCTGCATTCTTCCTCTGAGAAGTCCTATGCCACAGCGCAAGGGAGGAACGTTTATCCAGCCATAGACTACTTTCTCACCCACACCTCTTTTTTTAACTATTTATTTGGTTAAATGCAATCCTATCTACTGAATCCTCACCTTTAGGAAGAAGTACGAACCTTTAACGTGAGAGTATCACACGTATGCAGAAGTTTCTCTGAGGCTCAAGTGTCTTCACGTTTTGCCCTGTGAGATACAGCGTCCTTTGTATGAGAAATTGCAAAAGGGTGTGGAGGTACTGCAGTTCAATTTTCCTTTGATGGACTGATGAGAAGAGTAAGAGTAATATGCTTTGGTCCTCCTTGACTACAGCAAAGATAGAATGGAACGTGCTTGTGCATGTTTGGGCTAGGTCTTTGCTCAAGACATCATCTTTTGTGAACAGTTGGGTTATATCAGAATGGTTTTTGCCTTACAGAGCTTGCCAGGAATGTTCATCTGGCAGTGCCAGGTACATCACTTGTTGCACTTCTGCTCACTGCATCAGACTGGAGAAAAAAAGATTTGTTTGGCTCTTATCCTGCAGCTTGATGTCTTAACTGCATTTAACATCAGAGGTTTTTAGAATCTATTTATTTTTTTTTGTGCTAGCCTAGTGCTGTTTCTTTGCTGTAGAAAGGAATCCTTAAGAAGAGTTCCTCGATAACTCACCTGTGTGGGTGACATGGCAAGGTGAGCCCATTGCATGAGACTTAGCACAGATAGAGCATTATTACAGTTTAGATGGATTGAAATACCTGTTCTGTGAGAAGTAGCAGCATTATACATTTAGATAGAAAAACACGCTGGAAAAATACAGAGCTCAGAGTTGGCATTTCACAAATCCTTGTATTTTGTGTTCTAAGCACAAGTAGCAGCGATCACACTCCTGTTCTGTGTGCAGTGAGTTTCTTCTTGACCTGTCTTGGTGATTACTACATATACTCATGGAAGTATATGTGGGCTTTCTTAACAGACAGGGACTTGGTTGTCTACTGATAAATCAGTTCCTGCGTTCAGCTGGTCAGATGTCGCTGTCAGGAAAAAGGTACAGAGGCAGTTGGTATCTGCGGTGTTTATTTCAGAATTAGTGTGACAAGGGGATTGTTCTGATGTCTCCGAGAGTCCTGACAAAGTTTTTAAAGCATTTAACTGTAGTGATGGCACAAGAACATCTTTGTGATTCCACGTGCCTCTCACTCTGTGTTTTGAAGGGGGCTTATTTAACTTGTTCACTGCTACCACTCACAGGCTTGGAATCCCGCTGCGGAGGACCAGTGTTTCGACAGGTGTCACAGGCTGGGTCAGAAGCACAATGTTGTTATTACGAAGGTGAGCTGAGAAGTGATCTGGGTGAGGAGTTTTCTGGTTATGAATACGTAAATTCTTTTCCAAAAAGCTTCACTGTATTTTTAAAATAAGTGACATCCCACGACTCAGCAGTCAACTTAAAATTTTTGAAGTTTGGACATTGGAATGTCAAACTTTATTAAATGTAACCTATTTCCTGTGAAATAATAATTTGAGAAATTAAATGTCCCTGTTGAGCATATTGAAGATGGGGTGGTATTGCTGCTGCCTAGCCTGCCCGGTACACCTTAGTGTCTCGAAGGTACGTAGAATGCTTTTGGCTGTCAGTACCAGGCTTAGCTGCAGAAGAGCAGACGATGCATCTCAGTAGCCCGTCACAAAAATATTACTTGGGAAATTGAAGGCAGGTTCTCTTCTAATATAAGTGAAGTGTTTAAAAAAAATAAAATAAAATGTCAAACCTTTTCCTCCAACTGCTTTATGATTCTTCCCTCTTGTGTTTTCTTGACAAAGTAATAACAAAATAATGTAACTGTGCTTTAGACTATTCAGCTTTTTAAATGTTTTCTTCCAAAGTACTTAAATTCGCATCCTAAACATCTAATTTAAAAAAAAAAAAAAAAAAAGCCTCGTTTCAGTGGTGCTTTTTTTTTGTATTCCAGTTCATTGTGAAGGATTCAGTGGAAGAAAATATGCTGAAAATTCAGAACAAGAAGAGGGAACTTGCAGCAGGAGCCTTTGGTACTAAGAAGCCTTCAGCAAGTGAAGTAAAACAAACCAAAATTAATGAAATTAAGGCTCTAATTGATTTATAGCTTGAAATGGTATTTCGAGTAAACTAGATTTACTGTTTTATTTAACATTGTTCCTTTGAGTTACATCTCATGCTAATTTTCAGTTTTGGTGTCTTTGTGGTCAAAACATAAATGCTTCATATAAATTATCAAAACTAACTTGCTCCTCAGTGTTAATGCACAAACTTGTTTTGCACTCCTCAAATATTTCCAGTGTTCATTTTTTCAAAATGTTGCTTATTATGTACAACACTTAAGAATACATAAAAATTCCTGAAAACAGAAGTGCGTATTCATGGATCCTACCTTGCAAGAATTGAAGTGAAAAGGTAACAAAAGGTAAATAATGTGTTCTGTATTTCAGACAAAACCTTTAGGAAATGAATTAGCTTCTTATTTCAATCTCAATGTTTCTTGAAAACTAAAGCGGTCATCTGGATTGTTTGTTTCAGAATAGGTGGTCAGTGGTAATTTTTTACGGAATTCTTACTCTTGTGGACCATGTTCAAAGGTTATATTTAATTCAAAATTTATTTTTTTTACTATTTCTGAATAATACACAGGTGCAGCAGGGAGTTCCTCTGTTGACTGCTTCCCAATACGGAAGTAATTAAATTTGTAAAACGCTTTCTTTTAATATTTTACTTCCCTTCAACAGAATTCCACTTGTTTTTGTAAAAGCAAAGGTTTTGTGATTTGGATAAAATGCATCATAGGCTTGTACTGCTAACACGCTTCCCAGTAATTTGTGTACACATTCTGAACAATACGACTGTGCTCTATGCAAAGTAGAATATGACCCACTCCTCAGGGAATTAGCCCTTGCAAAATTAAACAAACTAAACTATTTTAACAGCTGCCAGCTTTCTGAGCTTCCTAGCCCTGCTCGTGGTTTTCCAGTCCCAGACCTGCGTCTTAAAGGAATGCTGATCTGCATATGGCTTGGCTTACGGAGGAAGAATTTGGTATCCTGCTGCCGTTCCTGTACCGCAAAGGAATAAACAGCACTGAAGGATTTCAGCTGAATATATTCTTGCCTGTCCCTTCTATCTCCTTCCATTTGATTCTGGTCTTCTGCTACAAGTTTTCGTAACTTTTAACTTCTTTTAACTTTTTTCTGCTACTTCTCTGTCATGCTCAGACTTCAAACTGGAGACGGGTTTAGATTCAGGGAGTGTATCTGGCAGTAGAGAAATGGAGTCCGATTTGCTTCTAACGCAGTTCACCTTTTCCTATCTCTTACAATACCAGCCAGCTGACAGCAAGAGGAATTGCAAACATAGGAAAAAGACAGAGAAATAAGGGGAAGGGGCCTGATACTTGGAGAAACAGTCAGCCAATGGAAGGAGTGAGAAAGGATTTCAGAATACATTATCTAGCAAGCTGGTGGAGTTTTTTGGGAAGCCAGCATCTTAGCTATAGAGGAATCTGGTTTAAGTCTGTTAGAGAAAGCATAAAAAAGAATGATGGAGAACTGGATAAACCCCAGTAACTGGTCGTCACTGAGCAGTTGACAAAAGAACAACAGAGCTACACCCAATGGATTTATTATTTTTTTTTTATTGCATAGAGTTCAGGTATGTTAAACTTTCTTTGGGGTTTCTGTGGTTCAGAGTCTGACGTTTAGAGGTAAGCTGGAGAAATAATTCCTCGCTATGAATGAGAGATTTGGCTTTGTATCATTCTTTCCATTTTCCAAGTTCATTCTTCCATGAAGAAGAGACTCATTTCCATGGCTAGTCAAGCTACAACATTACTTGTGATAAAATACGCTGATATTTTGCAGAGTGGCTGAGTTATGATTATGAAAACAATTACTAGTATCATTTTTCCTTTATTAGATGATGGTAGATGATGGTTTCGATGTTTCAAAGCCAAATAAAAACTTACTGGCGCTAGTACTAAGCTGTATGGCTAGTTAAGGCCTCTCCCAAGAAGCCACTGAAGTATCTGAGAGAACATTTAAAAGGTCAAAGCTAAGAGCAGAAAAGTCCTGTCTGATGTGATAGAGCTGTTCAGTTCCTTGGGTGGTTAAAAAACAGGGTATTCTGATTGTTTGGGGTTTCTTTTTTTGCTTTTCGTGATCTTTTAAGTAGTCTTTGCCTGCTGGTATTCTCTTTCTTGGAGTTGTAATGGTATGTTTTGTGGTGTGTTCTAGAAATAAGCTTTTTGAATTATAAACTTAACATTTTTAATTCCAAAGACTGAGTATTCAGTTTTGGAGGGATTTTTACCACCTACGTAAACCCAAAATCTAAACAAATAAGCCATGCTTCTAAACCTGTAAGAGTTGCCCTGAGTTGTCACCATCTAAGGAACACCTTAGATGATACTGTTTTTAAAGGCAAATGGAGTTCTAATGCTTGAGTTGTGATCTAGGCAGGGCTGTGATTCTTTTGAGTAACAAATGAGTATAAAATGAGTGCTTTAATTCGGTTACCGCTTTGCGTACCTAGAGTTTAGAGCAGAGAATTGTCTGCAAACACTGTCTGCAGTAATTATGAAGGAAATAATGGCAGATAAGGACACGAAGGTCATTTTATTGAAAATAAGCTGAAAAGAGTTTGGTATAGATGTCATACCTTTTGCTTTCCTGAGTCTGTGGGTAAACACTTGCTCACAGTATGAGTCACAGAGGCGAGGAGAGAGTGGTTTCATAGATTTTTGTCTTTCTTTACTAACTATATTTGTTAACCCAAAACATGCAGGTTTTCATCTTATTCAGCATCTCTCCTTACGTTCTTGTATCGATATAACAAAACTTAACAAGCTAAACTAAATTTTCATGTTGGTATAGTCTCATGCTCGTACACTTTTTCTAACTATGCTTAAAAAGTAGTAATGTGCCTCCTCTCTAGTACAAATACAGACAAGGGTAGCAAAACTAAGACTGTCTTGACAATCTTTGAGCTCTCTTCGGAAGAGAGTGTTTTGTGAGATGCAGAACTCAAACGTTTGTACTTGTTGGATAACTACACTTCTGACACTGCAGGCTGTAACTAGTAATCCCTACTGCTTTCACACAACTTCAAATGTGATCTGTTAAAAAAACCCAACACAGCAAAAGAAAAACCCACACAGGAGAGGCCTAGTTACAGCTGGGAGTTCGTGGGCTATGTACGTTTAAAAAGCTAAAAGCTGCTTTTGTTTGGACCTCATCTTTAGCAGTTTTGCTAAATGGCAACCAAGGAATCTTAGAGCAATTATGCAGTGAAAAACAAGTTAAACTAACTCTCATACCCAGATTACATCTTCTGCTTTACCAGCGAATGGTGAGACCTTGTTCATTGTTTATCTCTAAGCTACAAGTTTAGCACCCTCACTAGCTTTCTGCCAGATTCTCCTTTATTGGGAAATTAAAAAAAAAGTATTTTCTTAGTGTTTCTGGGTTACTACAGAGTACAGCTGTCAAAGACAGAACACTAAGTAACATGGTTCTGGTTAGACTTCTGGCCAAAGGATGGATCTGAAACGTAGTACAGATAACAGGCAATCGCATCTTCTGCACGCTTTTGTTACTGTGGTACTTTTACTACTTTTCCACGGGTCTTACAATACAGTGTGTAGACCGAGTATGGCAAAAAGAAAGCACTTTCTTTTACTCTCTGCACACATGGAAACAGTTTTCGTCGTCAGGACAGATAAAATTACTTAAGCAGTTCTTTAATCTGTCTTTCTTTGCCAAAACAGCATTGCCGTTGTGTTTAAAAGCAAGTTTACAGCATACAGGGCTTAGGCTAGGGCTGATCTTTCTTTCGTCACCCACAGTTACATTGCTTATGCGAGTAGCTTCAGCAGGCACTTCCTCCTCTGCCCTGTCCTGTACTTAGGACAAGATAATAAGGGCATTGGCCCTACACAGCTCCCTGGCAAATGATTATATACTCTGTAAATAATTACAGAACTCAAAGCTGGGTGTTTGCTAATGACAGCTAGAGTAGCATTAGCAAAGCTTAAGGGTTGTACCTGTTCAGTATTTCGGTCAGACTGCTTCAGAGCTCCCTCTTTTTTTTTTAATTGCTCAAGAGTTTAGGGAAGCCAGAAATGCATGACAACTTTTTATTTTTGTATCAAGTGCAACATTGCAAGTAACAGATAAAACTCAGTTGACTAGTCCCATAGTATACAGAACTGAAAAATGCATTCTGCCATGCTGTAGGCACTGTGCGTAAGAACCTGGTCAAAACTTCAGTGCAATTGTGACTGGAAGAGCAAAGCAGTGCTATGACTATTACATCTGTTTGTATCCCAGTGTCATTAATACATTTACGGTAAAGCAGAATGGCTACCACTCTAGTGTATGAGCAATCCCAGGAAGTAGATTTTACATCTAAAACAGCAAGCAAAGGAATCAATGCTAATCACCTTAATGAGGTGAGGTAACAAACCCAGTTTCAAGGAATATGTTGAGCCAATTGAGGAAATTTAAGCTGAAAATACCTGGTTTTGTCTAGTAGGGAGAATTGGAAATTGGGCAGTTACAAGTGGCCCAAGGAATTCTGCTTCCTAGCTTTTGCTCAGTCTTCATCTGTAGCACTGCAGAGGCCTTCAGCCAAGAAGTTTTTCTTCAAGCTACTAGCAAGTGTAACTGACCACCATCTACACCTTTCTAGCTGTTAGTTCTGGAACAAGTCCTTGCATCACCACTGTTTGAGACAGGCATTTCTACTGAAGGTAGGTGTCAAGTTTCTTCTTGATGTTGTCAAAGGAATCCACTCCCATATAGTCAGCTTGGCCCTGTTCCCACCGTTCCTTGCGTTCTTCTGAAGATACAGTTGGTAATACTGGTGATGGTGCTGATATTGATATGTGGGACACTGCCTCTGTAACCTCTGCCTAAAAGGAAAGGCAGAGTGAAAAGACAGAAATATTTGGCATAGCTAAAGCGAGCAACAGGCCATAGAGTGGGACAACGAAGTAGATGTTCTCATGTGCAGCAAGCATTGCCAATGGGCAGGGATTGGGTAGCCTCCCTAGCAAAATTTTAACAAAGCAGAGTTACAGAGGTTAGCAGGAAGGGA